TCCAATAGAGGCAATTTCCCGATTGAGGCTCCCTCAACCCAGGTGTGTCAAGTTGACACTAAAGCTATCCAGTACAGATCCAAAGAATACAAGTGGTCTCTAGGAGCTGGAAAAGGCAAGAAAGAGATTTTCTCCTGGAGGCTCCAAAAAAGAATACAGCTTAATTGGCAGCTTAATTTTAGCCCAGTGAATCTGATTCTGAGGGTCTGACTGGCAGGGTTGTGAGATAGGTTTATGCTATTTTAAGGCCCTGAGTTTTTGTGAATTTGTAACAGTAGCAGTAGAAAACTAATATAGTGGGCAGTCACTGTGGGTTTTTAAGGAAGGAGCCAAGGATCTGACTAGGAAAATCCCCCTGGGTACAGTGGAGAAGGGCAGAGAAGCAAGAGTGAAAGCGGAGACCAAGTGCTGGTGAGGAAGGTGGGCTTTGCCACCGTGCTTGGCAACCAAAATCCAGGCATCAGGAAACCACGAGATGGAGGATGGTGGCAAAGGAAAACTCCCCACTCATCTCATGGTAAATATGGAGATTCAAGTTCCCTCTCCTGTGGCCAGCTTCCTGTCTCACACAGAGCCAGGGAGGAGCCAGCCACCAAGATGGAGCAGGCTAGGACAGACTGAAGACCAGGCAAGAATGGTACAGAACGGAAGTCCGAGAAAACTTCCAGGCTGCCCGGGAAGCAGAGGAGGTTTCATAAAGACCTTTCCCCTCTGATTAATCTCTAATGTTTACAAGATTCAGTAGATTTTTTTTCAGTACTCAAACTAACTAAAGATCATTGGAGTAAATGTCTGAGAAACTCAAGAACAAATTTGAAAGAGGACTGTAGAGAAAGCAATAATGACTTAACAGAAGTCGAAATATTACAAAGCTATGAAATTAAAATTGTGGTACGAGGGCTGAAGAGATGGCTTAGCACTGAAGAGTCCTTACTACTCTTCTGAAGGGCCTGAGTTCAGTTCCCAGCATCCATGTCAGGTATCTCATAGCCACCGGTAACTCCAGTTCCAGGATTCAAAGTGTTCTATCCTCTGAAGGCGCCACACATACACACACACACACACACACACACACACACACACACACACACACAAATAAAAGTAAACATTTTTTTTAAAAAATTTATGTGTATGAGTGTATTTCCTGCATGTATGTGAGTGTACCCGTGTCATGCAATGCCTCGGAGGTCAGAAGAGGGCTTCAGATTCCCCTGGAACTGGAGTTAAGAACTGTTAGTAGCTGCCATGTGGGTGCTGGGAATGGAAACCAGGTCCTCTGCAAGAGCAGTCAGTACTCTTAACTACTGAGCCATCTCTTCAGCCCCAAAGTAAACATTAAAAAAAATATATTAAAAAAAAATAAGAAAACTATGGTACAAGGTTGAGATGTGGTGGCACACACCTGTAAACCCAGCACTCAAGAGACAGAGGCAGGCAAATTTCTATGAGTTTGAGGCCAGCCTAGTCTACATAGCAAGTTCCAGGCTAGCTAGGGCTATATACTGAAATACTATCTCAAAAACAAAAGAAAACCAAAAATCGAAAAAACTATGGTACCAGTATAGCAGTAAATAGACCAATGGGATGGAACACACTTAAGAGATAGACTGATGTACATATAAGAATTTAATATTTGATAAAGTTAAAAATTCAAATTATTATCCTCTGATGTTAGAACAATTAGCTATACACTTGAAAAACAAAACAGTAACTCTTTCACATGTCATTCAAAAACATATTGTAGGTTAATTGAAAATATTAGCACATATAGAAACAGCCTTAGATAATCTATCAAAAAATACAAGGAGTATTTAGATAAGCTTTTATAAGAATGATACCATAAGTTAGCTGGGCATGGTGGTGCACGCCTGTAGTCCCAGCACTTGGGAGGCAGAGGCAGGTGAATCTCTGTGAGTTCAAGGCCAGCCTGGTCTACATAGTGAGTTCCAGGACAGCTGGGGCTACAGGGAGACCCTGCTTCAAAAAAAAAAAAAAAAAAAAAAAAAGATGATACCATAAAAGAAAGAAATACCTAGCCTATTTGGGTGTACAGGAACACTTCAGATGCCACTATAAAGAGATGCCAACAAATCTGAAGTGCAAAATTGCAAAAATATATGCAATGTTTAAGGTAAAAGGGGAAATATGAGTAACCCAGTGAGGATGAGAAATATACATAAATAATCAATGCACAAAGAAAATTTAAATGACCAGGAAACCTAGGAAATAACATGCCATTAAACAA